GCTCAGCAAGAAGCAGGAGTACCTGGAGATGAGGATCGAGCGGGAGCTGGCGGCAGCCCGGCAGCACGGCACCAAGAACAAGCGAGGTGAGTCCTCGCCGCCGGGGCTGGGCCGGTCCCGCTGGCCTCCGCCCGCCGGCGGGGAAGGCCGGGTGCGCCCTGCCGGCACCCACTGCGAGGGCTGGAGAGCGTCCGGCTGGCAACCGAGCAGCAGGGTTGAGACTTGAGAGAAATTCAGTGATTTGCCGCAAACGCGTGGAAAGGACGTGATATTGCTAAAAAATAAATGATAGTTCGGAGTATTAGTGACTACTGGTTTGGGCTGCTGTTAGGTGCAGACGAGGGCATACTAAGGGAAAATAAGACCTGGATCCTGCTTATACTGAAGTTATCTTTCTGGGAAGAAAATGATAGTAGCCAATGTCTTGGGCATCTACAGGCCTTTGAGCAACAAGTTAATTACTTTCTAAAGTCACCTGGAGTCCTCTGTTTATCTACTCTGAGCTTTATTTTTCTTTAAATACTTCAAAACAATAAAGCCGTTTTGAATTAACGACTTGTGATGATAAAGTAGTTTTTTCCTCTGCTCTTTTTGTTGCTTAGTGGTTTAAAAAATTAACACCATGCAACTTAGAGCTTGTGAGGGGATGCATGTTAAAGGTCTTGGTTAGTCCTTTAATGTAAGTATAATACTTCAGCATTTAATAATTATTAATTACTTTAGCAATTAATAATTATTAGCAAAATTCATATTAACTAACTTTTAATCAGGATTTAAAAACATGGGTCAAGATGGGACAGATTTGAAGGCACAAACAGAGGGAGTAAAGCCAGTTCAGCAGCACAACTGAGCCTGCTGCTCTGCGGCACAGGACCTGTCAGGGTTGTCCCAGTCCCATGCTTTCTACTCCCTTGACTTCAACTGGAGCATCTCCCTTGTCCCCTTATGCAGGTGGTGGCACCTGTGTGCTGATGCAGTGAGCTAGTTCAGAAAGGCGATGCAACTGAAAACTAATTTGCTGTGGGACAAAGTGACCAGATAGCTCCTGGGACCGGGTTCGTCTTGCAGATGCCTGGGCAGCAGGGCTGATGCAAGAAAACTGACCTGCTCCTGCGACTGTAGCAATTTCTGTTTAGTTCCAGACATGCTGCTGTTGAACTTCATCCCAAGCCTGGACTTTAAACTGGCATGGTTGCAGGAAAAAGCAATGCTTCCTGTTTCGCTCCTGCCCCTGTGCTCCTCCCTTCCCTTCCTTGGCAGAGCTCCCTGAAGGGTGTGTTTCAGAAAGCTGGATGCAGCTGTAAGATGTTGTGGGGCTTTTAGCTGGATTATTTTTTTTACCCAGGGTAGGTTAAGCTCCACTTACTTACCCAGTTGAGTCCACAGCTGCACAAGTGCTCTGGCACCTGTGAAGGAGAGGATGGTGCACAGGCAGGAATGAGGACTACTTGTTGAGAGAAGGTGGCTCTGCTTCTCCTTTAACTCTGCTGGTTGATGTTGGCTCCAGGTGTTTGTCAAACTATGGCCTTGTGCTTCAGGCGTGCAGGATTTGACATATAAGGCTTTTCTGCCAGATGTTTGTTTCCACTGTGGTGCTTGGCATGCAATTCCCCAAGTTTCATCTGCGCCATTGTTTGTGGAGTCATGCTGCAAACTGGATTATTGAGCTGTTGAGTTGATAAAAACTCCTTTTTATCTTCTTGTTTGCTCAGGAACCTGCAGTTACGAATAGTAAAGAGACAGGAGTAGGGCAAGAAGTACAGAGTGGGAATTTTTCATGCCAGAGATGGCTCTGAAGCCAAAACAGGGTAGTGTCTCTACAGTCAGAGAAGGAACAGGAGAAACTAACCTTTCTGTGGCAAAGTGCTTGAATTTAGCAGGCCTAGTGAGTTAGATTACATCCGAAGAATACCCCTTCATTTGATATGTCAATTGCTTTACAGTTTAATTGCTATTTTTGTATTATTAGCATATTGTTAGTATATTGTTTATGTGTTTATATATTTTTTACATATTGTTATTTTTATATTTACATATTATTAGTGTATTGTTACCAGCGTATTAGCTGGTATACTGTACTATATAGTTCAGAAGAAATCTGTGCTAACCAGCATCTATTGTAGTATTATGTGAATATACACACAAATGAATGAGTAAAACTTAATCTACATTGCCTTGTTAAAGTGAATGTTTCAAAGGGACCTCGTAGGTAAATTTTAATGTTGTTTTTTCTTAATTGCATCTGTGGAGAAGCCTGTGGAAATGAAAACAGGAGTGTCTGAGACCGGAGCAAGATCTATCTAGGTATAGAAAATGCAACAAATTAGCATGATCTCATTTGATGTTGAGGCATGTGAGTCTGACTCAGTTATAGTGACGCAAGAGAGAGCAGATTCAGGCACCAGCAATTTTTCATGAGTTCAGATGATTCTTGAATCAGTTCATGTGACATCAGAAGACTTAGCTTGATTTCAAAGCCATAACGTGAGCTATGCAAATAGATCTGAAATATCCCTTAAATATTTTTGGCAGTATCTGCAGTTCCTGTACCTGATCTGAAATTAACTACACTCCTAGGATGATACACTTCTAGCATTCCTATTAATAACTTGCTGTAGCTAGACTACTTGAGGGTTTTCAGAACAGTGGCATGTGTTGGAATACCTCCTGCAGAGGTTATGTCATGATAAGCAGTATTTCTTTTCACAGTTAGAAGTGTCTTTGTTCCAGATACAAACTCAAGAATTTTTTTTTTATATATCTCTTTCAGTATATTTTTTGGTATCTCAGTTTCACTGAGTGCACTGCTGCCAACTCCATCTGGAAACTGGCCTTTCATCTTCAGTATTCTGAAGGTCATACAGGAAAATTTGAAGGACAATGTAATACTGAGTATTTGAGAACTCTAAAGGAAATGTCTTTTCTGAAGTGCACCTGTGTCAATAGCATACATGTCAATGAGTGTTGTTGCAGCATGGAATCTTTCACAGATCCTGAGAAATGACCAAATGAAAAGACATAAATTAAAGGAAGCCTTAGCTGCCTTTTATTTTTATTTTTTTTAAATCCAGAATAGGATTAAATTTTAACCATAAAGAGGCACACAGTACTACTGAGGAAAACCCTAGATAGAAAGTTGGAATAACAGGTAGGCTTTTATAAGTAGATGCTGCTAAATATGCTGTGTGGTACATTTGGGCAGGGTTTGTGTAGCTGTGTAGCATTCCTTTTCAATGACTTAGTTGTAACCAGGATGCTGTTGAAACCAAACAACAATGTAGTAGTTGCTTGTTAACACGGACAGGGCTGTCAGTACCTGTGGCAGGGTGTATGACAGGTTGGGACTGAGGGTTTCTGGCAGGGAGATACGAGGAGGCCTTTGCTGTGTCTTTGTTCTGTGAGTTTACAGCTATTGTTCTCTGATCTTCATGATCACGTTTCAGGTGTCTTGCCATGAACTGCAGTGGTTATAACAAACCAGGTGCATTATTGTTCTTGAATTAGCCTCTCAGTTGTAACTGTATCTGGCTTCCCTCAGAAGGTTTTAAGGATTTTGAATGCTGATAATGAGCTTACTTAGGGTGGTATGATTTTCATGGTCTCATCAGCATTTCTTTTGGTTGTTGACAAGTTTTGATCCATCGGTCCCTTGCAGGACTGAAGTGGAAGTTTGTGAACTGTATCCAAGAATAAGATCCAGTATTTTTATGGGGGTGCTTTATCTTCTGAAGAAACATTCTTTTCCTTTTTTGCCCTTTCCCATGGGAATTTTAAGGATTACTAGATAATATTTTTATTTCTCCTTTAGAAGATGAGATCATCGGTAATTCCTGTACTGATGGGTGTTGGTGGTGGGCTTGACAAGTAAAGGTGTTATCACTGTATTATCTCTTTCCATTCTGATCTGTCATGAAACCATGAGGAAGGTGCCACAACTCTTTCTATGTCACTACTTTTGTTCTTTCCTTTAGTAACCTGGACAATCAGTGTGGCTGGGATTACTGTTGCTGAGCTGGCCATTTCTGCTTCCTTAATAAAGTATCATCGTAGTAGTGATATGGGAAAAGTGTCCTTCTGTATGTTAATAACAGTAGTTCTTTAATATGCATACTTGAACTGACATAATAGTCTACTGTTGTTTCAACCACTTACCTTGAAAATAAAATAAAAACTCAGATTAAAAGCAATGGTTCCTAATCTGTGAGCTGTATCCCGCTGCTGGACTTGGAGCACATGAAATATGCTAAAGCCCAGCCAGCTGCTAACCACTTTGTTATGAAATGCAGGAGTTGAATCGGCTTCTCTGGAGCCCAACGAACACTGTGTATGAGATTGCTTTTTTTCCTGGAGGAGACTTCCACCTTTTTCTGGTTGAATTGCTTCCTCAGACTCTGCCTCTTGGGCTGTCTTCGTTTTTTCAAGTCTTTGGAATGGGCAGTACCCTTTTTCAGTGCCATTCTTAGAAAATGCTTGCACGTGCAGTAAAAAAACCTTCAAGTTCATGATAATCTAAACCACAAAAAATACACTTCAAATAACAAGGAAATTCTCATATCTTAGCTATAGAAGCTACTATTGCAAAACACTGCAATGAAGGGCATTCATTAAATATAAACGAGAAAAATCATATAATGTGGTGTGGGAATTATGCCTTGGTTGATACAGAAGGAGTATGAATTGATTTCCCATGAAGTGCTTTGTTCTGTAAGTCACTGGTAAAACTAAAGAGAATTAATAAAGCTGATATGTTGCACTATAATAATTAGGAAAAGCTGTTTATGAAGAGGTGAAGTCACAGAGTTTAGCTTCTGTGGTTTCTATTTGGGTGTGGTTTAATTAAATGTTAATACAAGAACCTTCAGGATTTTGAAAACAACTGCTTTATGTGTAACTGAGGAAATCCATTTTCTCTCTGAGCAGCCAATAATAACAGCACCATTACAGAGCCACATTTCTGCAAAACACCTACTGGTAGTATTGCCCTGTGGTAGATACTGACTCCAGTTGAAGCCTTTCTGCATTAGTGTTCCACAGTCCACAGGGATTTAGAGTTCTCCCTGGCGCAGCTGGTGTTAATGCATAGTTTCAGACACGTACATTTACCTAGAATCTCTGGCTTCCTAACCAAAGAATCTAGGATCAAATTTTGATTTAACTGAAGCTAAGAAAGGGGGTGGCTGGTGTCCTAACACTACCAATGATAGGCCTGAATAAGTAGGGAAATAAGAAGTAGGTAAAAAGATTATTTGGGATTAAGTCAAACTGATGTATTTTGGAATTGCCAATGAGAATTTTACAGTTCTTACCTTTGCCATTTGCATGACATCATCTGGTGTTCACTCCTCTTTTTTGGAATATGCATGATCTTTGCACCATGCTTGAAAACCTGTGAAGGTCTTGAATTTGAATACTATGATTAATCTCTTGTGATTATGGTTTGCTGCATTTACTGCAGGTGCTAGAAGGCACTGTGTATCTTCACCTGTGTGAATGCTTGTCCTTGTCCAGCTAATGATGAACAATTTTGACCATGTCGATTCAAGCATTTGTCAACAAAGCACAGAATTTTTTTAGTGTGTTGTTACACGCCATAAATGTGCCCCCTCCTTGGTGGGTTCCTAAGTGTACCCCAATGTCAAGGTTCAGTGTTATTGCACATGGGCAATTATTCAAATAAAACAGAAACAGTAATAGCTGCTGTCGGTTGAGTTTGTAGGGGCTGCAGTTCTGCTGTTGCTTGCTGGCTCTGAAGCTGATTTAAAAACTAAATATAAGAGACAAGGGAAAGGACACGGGTGTTAATAGCATTGAAAAAGCGATGGGTTAACTCAGTCTCTTGGGTTTCTTTGGTGTTTTTCTTGCCTGGCACATGTGTAGTTTGGAAATGACAGTGGTCAGGAAATGCTGTGGCAGGATTATGTGTGTTCCACACCCAGAGGCTAAGAGAAAGCTCTTTTCTCCTCCTGCTTATCACATGCATTTATTCTGGTAATGATTTACTCTGGCCAAAGTATGCTGCTCATATTTTAGCAAATATAAAAGATTAATCTTAACGATTTACAAAGATAAAGAGGGAGTAGCTGGATTTGGCTGTGACCATGTCTACAAAGTTCTATATGTTTTCCAGTTCTAAGGTTTAAAGGTCATGCTTCTAAGTGATTGTAAGAAATAATGTAGCTGAAAGAGAAATGCGAGTCCTCCTGCGATGTAACCCACCTGCTTGCTTGGGCCATTTGGGCTTTCCATTGGGCTTGACAGTTCCTGCTGCTGAGATAAAGTTTAGGAAGCAGCATTGGTGAAGATGTGGTTATCATGACAGATCTTCATACTCTGTCTTCCTTCATTTTTACTTATGTATTGCAACTTCTTCTTTTCTTTTCTTTCTTTCTTTCCTGTTTCTTCCTTTCTGACTTCTCTCTGATGTTTTTCCTCCCCATCTTCCCTGCTTTGCCTGTGCGCACAGGATGGAGTTCAAGATCTCCCACAGTGGAGGAAGAAGGCGCTCTTCCCTTTGGTGCTAGAAGGAGTTAATCTAAAAGAGGCTTCCCAGCATGTTCATGCAACAGCATGTTGGTGATAAACAGGCTGCTGGTCAAAGTTTGTCTCCCTACTAGTAAGGTAGGAGAGTGAGAATTATAAATTTGGCAGATCAGCTTGGTGCTGAACTACTTGTCCTTGTGTTTTGCTATATCAATATACAACGCACTTCGCCTCTTTGCTTTCCAGCTGCCTTACAAGCACTGAAGAGAAAAAAGAGATATGAGAAACAGTTGAGTCAAATCGATGGGACACTTTCAACCATTGAGTTCCAGAGAGAGGCACTTGAAAATTCCCACACCAACACAGAAGTGCTCAAGAATATGGGTTATGCTGCACAAGCTATGAAAAAAGTGCATGAAAATATGTAAGTGCTTTCTAATAGCTTACAGGTTGAGCTTACTAACCACTTTCAAACTATTTCATTGCTACAGTCTATTGTATCAAGTCAGGCAGTTTTGACTTCATTTTGAGTTTAAGCATTTAATGTCAGGAATGCTATTGGTGTTGTAATGTTATATTTGGCAGAAAAATATCTTTTCTTAACAGTAAGTCTAGAAGGAAGTCCAGCTAACTAGAGAGATCCATGTGGTACCTGTTTTTTTAAGTCTGCCTTGGTAGTAGAGACTGCCCTCTGCCCTTGTTTTTTTCCAGAGGAAAACTTGGTTGAAGAAACTAAGTGGACTCCTTTCCTCAAAGTCCATAAGCTGGACTGTGTGATTCAAAGTACTAATGAGACCTGAATAAAAGAGAGGGTAATTTTTTTGTGCATGTAGTATTTTTATATGTCCTGTATTGTTTCATGAGGTGTTTTCCTGCCTGAATAAACAGAGTTAAATCAGAAAGGTTGTTTTGGGAGAAGTAAACAGGAACTGAAACAATAATTAAGTTAACAATTAGGGGAAGCTTTTAAATGGCATATAGTCCTGTTAAGTTCCCCCAGTTCTGGTGAAAGCTTAACATTGAAAAAGATCCATCTATAAAGATGCTGACCTTAGGAAGGAGATGGGATCTGCCCAGGGAATGTAACTGTTGGATCGCAGAGGTCCGAGTAACACAGAGGGAGAGAGACACGGACTGCTGCAGTTTGACTTCTGTTACAGTCCCAAAGTGGAAGAAATTGGACAGGCTAAGATATGCAGAAGCTTGCCAGTAAACATTAAAGTGTAGATGAGGGAAGTTATTCACTGTGAGTTCTGCTGTTTATACAGTCATGGGTATAAAAAGAAAATAGGGTCTGTTCAAGTTGCTTTGAGTCTTTTCTGTAGTATTTGAATGATGTATCTTTAAAAAATGTGTCCATGTTACCTTGCCAGGGACTTGAACAAAATTGATGATTTGATGCAAGATATCACTGAACAGCAAGATGTTGCTCAGGAAATTTCAGACGCCATCTCAAACCGAGCTGCCTTTGGTGATGAGTTTGATGAGGTTAGTACTTCAGTAAAGCCTGTGAGTTTTAGCTGTTAAATGACTCCATAGTTACTTTGTTGTGTGGTGGCTTGTTCCAGTGGTTTGTTTTTTGGAAGGTGTGGATGTGAAATTCCTTGGTTCTAGCTTACCCCATCTAGGACGCTTTTTTTTTTTTTTTTTTTTTTTTACACATATTATATTAGTATTACATATTAAATAAGAAAATAATATAGAAAATAAATAAAACTATATGTGTAAAATATTTTTTTATATATAAATTTTAAAAAGGTGATTTTAAATGCATTCCTGTAGTAGTTGTTCTCATTTGTACCATGGAAGCAGGAGGTCACTAAAACATGTAATTTGTACTGCTCTAAGTGGACACTGAAACATATAATTTTTTTTCTGCTCCAAGTAGACATCCGTTTGACTAAGTGCATGTTCCTATGCCATGAACAGGTTGTTGTTCACAATTCTGAATATTTGGACCAGTTTTTTAAGGACTTTTTTGGTGCTTGGAGGTGCAGGCATTTTCCCTGTTGACCAGATTTTCAACAGAAGTAAATTCATTACAGGAGAGGTAATTCCGGTTGCAGGCAATAAGGTTTATTCCTTGAGCTCTTTTCTTCTGAAACCCTCACAAGGCACTTAAGACCTTCTGAAAATTTGTTGCAGTAGCTTTTATCAAGTATCCCTGGACCTGACTTTGTATATCTAAGCAGGACATTGCTTCTGATCCAACCATGGCTGAGGACTCAAGGGTCAGGTATACTCAAAATTCCTGCAGTCTGTGGAATGCAGAGCTGAGGATCAGGCTCAGTATCACAATCGGTTTGGTTTTTGTTTGTAACTATCTTTTAAAATGACTAAGCGCTCGGGACTGTTTGAAGAATGTCCAAATGGACAACAAAGAAAAATACATATGCTATATCGTATTTGCATATGGGGGTGTGTGTGTTCATTCAGCAGTTACAATTTGTTGAAAATAGTAGTGATTCTTTGTATTTTGTTCCCATTACCTGCTTTCCTATTTTTCCACTTTGAATGTCAATAGACCTTTAAAGAAACTTTTAATCAATACTGGCATTAAGGAATAGGATTTGGCCTGTATAAACTGGGCTTCAGACACTTGAAAAACGTACTTCCATCCCAAATAGCTATACAGTGTCACTTACTTTTCATCAGTGCTTAACTTGTAGGAGTTTAGACTTAGTAAGCATATTGTAGATTGACCTGGAAGTTCCTAAGAGATACTAGTCCAAGTTGATGGCCATGTTTTCTGTTCTGGTAAAATAAGCCTCTGTCACATGGGGCATCATTGTACCAGTACCTGCTTTTGCATAGGAGCCTAATACAGCACTTGTGCAGTAACTGGGAAACCTGGTTTGCAGGCCACTTCAGCTTGAGTGCTAGAATCAGTGACTTAATTGCTGGGTTATGAGGTGATTTGTGTTGGAGGATGATTTTATGTTTTTGAAGGATGTTTTGACCACGCACTTGGATTTTCTCTTCACATGTGTGCTGTGGGTGTAAGGAGATCATGGAAGCATGTAATCTCTACTGCTCCAGACAGACACAAAACTAGAAGGTTCTCTCCCTGGCTTGACACAGTGTATGTCATGAAGAATGCAAAAACCCTCTGTCCTACCTGAGTAGGATGCTACTGGGAGGGGTGACCCTTGCCTGAAGGCCTGCTTCTGATAATCAAATGCAAGATACATAGATTCCAGTGGACAAAGCCTGGAAGCTGAGAATTCATATGGTATCTTCCCTCTGCAATCTTTTTTGGGCTAGGTTCAAGAAGAGTAAAGGGATTTGTTGTTGCTGTTGCAATACTCCACAGCCTAGTTGTAGAGCAGAGCCCGAGTTGTGGAAAACAGTTGAATCCATACTGAGGATTAGAAGAATTTAAAACTTGGGTCTCCCACTTTGAGAGCAAATGTTCTAGCCATTACACTATTATTTATGTTAAAAGTGTAGGGGTCATGATCACTCTTTTTTTAAGAGCCTGTTGTGGCTGACAACATCTCTTAATTGTTTACTTATTTAGTAGAGGTTGGCAAGGACTAATTTGATGTGGGAGAATATTAGATGTCCATCTAGAGGTCTTCAGAAATACTTGTTTCCATTGATTTTACAACATTTGGATACTAACTTTGTTAGAAGTTTGTATTCACCCCACTGACTGAGGCACTTAAAGTGCAGATGCATTTGCATCTCACTCAGCTAAATAACCTAAGTTAGACAGGTAGCCTCAACTTGCACATTTCTTTGAGAGATCGGCCATCAATTGAATGTCATCAGGTGTAGACCTGATGCTGAAATTTTTAGATGTTATCCTAGTATTTGCATTGTGAACTAGGTCAGATAGGCAAACCATAGCCTCTTTTTGTCCTTGAAAATATAAAAACATGAGAAAATAGGTCTCGGAAGGCCTGTGGTGGCTATGTATTTATCATTTTAATATCCACATTGGTGATAAGCAAGGTATAAATGGGTAGGCAAAGCCCATTGTAATACCCAGTAGATCACACTTCACTACAGCCACTTTTCCCCCAGCCACTTTTGCCCATTGTTTCTTTTTAAACCATTTTATCAACATGGCAAAGGTCCACTTCTCTACGAACATGTAATATCTAGCTTCCTTTCTTTGGGAAACTACAGCCAAGGAATGTGTTTGGCTTTTTTAAAAAGTGTGTAGCCTCTTTATTTTTAGTATTATATAAGTGGATTAGATCATCTGTCCAAATCAGCTTCTGCAGCTAAAAACCCGAGTTACATGCTTTAAGAGTGAATAACAGGACCCAGGAGGACAGCTCTGATTCCACTGCTGCTTTGAAATCATATAATCCTGGACTTGTGTGATAGGGCAGAAGTATGTTTAATGACTACCTTATAACTGGTGGAAGCTGTTTGCTTTTTTAAATGGGAGAAATTGCACATTAAAATTGGAATCTTTTAAAGAGTACAGGCTCTAGATTAGGAACAAATCTGAGGAAGGCAGGGGGACCTCCCCCCGCCCCCCCCCGATTTGCCTGTTTGACAAGTGCTTACACTGCCATCAGTTTTCTTCCTAATTTTATTCCTTGTCCTGTTCCTAACTTCCATTGTCCTTTCTTCAACTTTCAGTTAAGGTTTATTGTTATTGCATACACTTAGTAGAAATCATGCTTGTGATATGCTGGGTTTCGATACTTGTTTTCAGTAGTTCTTTACTTCATGGTTGTTAAATGTGCCCTTGCCTGAGATCACTGTCAGGACAATGAGTTTGTAAATTATGTTTTCCTTGAATTTAGGATGAGTTGATGGCAGAATTAGAAGAACTGGAGCAAGAAGAATTGAACAAGGGAATGAAAGATGTCAGACTGCCAAGTGTTCCGTCCACATCACTGCCTTCTCGCCCTGGTAAACTGTTTGCTTTCAATTTTATGTTTCCCATGATTGAGGCATGCTGCAAGTAGGAGGAGAGGAAGAGAGAGCTCCCGATATGTATTTAACTGTGTTTTAACCTTTAAAGTGTTAGAAGTTCCTTTTCCTATTTTTGTATTTGTTTATCAGCAAAAAGCAGAGTGGAATTCTGATTTGCTGTATGAAAGCATTTAAGATCAAATTCTGTGTAGATTTGGGGAGACAAACTCAGAGAATTTGACCTTGCATTTATAATCATTCATCTACTACTGAAATGTCATGAATTCACTGAGGAATGGGAAGACCTTTCTTCTCTTTTTGGCAATTAAATCCTAGTCTTTTTTAATTAGAGTCTGACCTAGATTCAAAATGTTTGTGTCACAAAGATCCAGTTTTGTAGGGTAGTGGTTTGATATTTGCCAGTGTTATTTTAATTAGAAATGAAGGAGGCAGCAGGAAGTACACATTTGAAGAAATACTGTAATTCCTTTGCTTGCTTTTTACAGAACAGACATTCTTGGCATTAAACAGTAGTCTTATTTTTAATGTGGTGCTGCCCTTTTCAATTTGAATTAAACCACGGACAGTCAACTTTACCTTTTACAGTGTCCCTCTTGTCCTCTACCGGCTGAAAGACTTGCTGTGTACTAATGCTAGTGAAAGAGTATGAATATTTGGTGGCAAGGGCAGCACACATGTGGCAGAGGTTGTTCATGGTGCATTCTGCTGCTGAACAGGTTACCTAGACCAGCTTAGCTCAGGGACTCTTAACATGTCTTTTGGCAGACAGCACTTAAAACCATGAGAAGCAGTTTAAATGTTCAAGCTGTGATAATTATCTCATCTACTTAAGTCAACAGCAGAACAGCTAGTAAAAAAATGGATTTAGGAAAACCCAGTGCAGTTGCAGTCTAGTCCTCTTCCAGATCCAGCTGTGCCAGCTGACATGTTTATTAAACCCAGGCCATCTCCATGTGCTTCTCACTATCTTAATTTGCTACTTCATCTGTCTGTATGAGTGCTTCAGGCAAAAGTTGATTTTGCCACCAATAGCTGGTTACATTTATACAGTTTAAGGCCTCACAAAACTGGCTTATCTTTTATGAAACTGGATGGTTACCATTATACAGCAAAGGCAAAATAAGAACAACAATTAATGGTTCTATAATGCTTCTAATTGGAGATCATGTTACCCTCCTGATTTTAGAGATGGGGAAGCTGAGGTGGAGCAAGGCATAGTGAGTGACCTTACCCAGTCGCACAGTGAGCCAGTGGCACCTCTCTAGAGTAGGGACTGGACCCCTGGTCTCCAATGTCCTCCTCCCACCTTCAGTCCCCCAGTGGTAGCTGCTACCCCTCTCAAGATGGTGGCTCCTGGCTGTACAGTTGCCACCGGTGGGAGCCAACTGGCTGCTCTAAGTGTACACAGCAGCGTATTGCTCCCAGTAACAGTGTTCCACTCATGTTTGGAGTAATGCAAATCCTGACATGAACAGCCCACAGATAGAGACAGCTTGAGGTTGAACCTGGGCTATAGGGCATGCAGTTTATAGGTCAGCAAATGAAGACTATTTGGGTGAGGAATGCGAAAGATGTATGTGATAGGAGATTTTGGTTAAAAAAAAAGAGAGAAAGTGTGTGTGGGATCTGGTACAGAGCTAGGAATTGTTGCTGTGACTACCTGTTAACTGATGTCACCTGAGCAAAGATTAGTTCAGGAATTTTTGTCCTTTTTAATAAATGACACCTCTCATTAAAATGGGGTGAATCATTTTGGAGACTGAACCTGCACATGCAGAACCCTTCAGCCCTATTTGGAAAGGTAGCAGGATGCACAAACAGCCAGGGGTGGGTCACTGGTGCCTGTCCAAGTGGCAGTGACAGAACTTGCAGCATTCTTGTGGGTGCTTGCTCTGTGTGACAGCTTTTAGGAATTAAATGTATTTTCTGTGGGAGTTTTTCAGGAGGATTTATATCAGACCTATACTGTTAACCTCATGGTTATTGTGAGTTAATGGTGGGGCAAAATAGTTGCATCTCTCATCAGCTTCCTTACTACCATTACCTGTGTTTATCTTGCTGCTGAATAAATTGAGATCTTCAAACTGAAAAGCACTATGCAAGTCCCCGTGCTAACAAATAAAATGGTTCTGACTGTTACATTAGTTGATGGTTATTGTTAATCTCTCTTTCTCTGCAGCATCGACCAGGAAGAGAGCAGAAGATGAAGATGAAATGAAGCAGCTGGCTGCCTGGGCTTCATAAGAGTATGGTCTTTTTATAACACTGAACACTATAGTGCAGATGTAAAGAGCTGTAATGCTGTTTTATAACCATACCGATTTAGTGTGGTTGCATTTCATGCAGGCTGGGTTTTTTATGGCCAATCTTGCTAAGAATAGTGTTACTGCTGTATTACAAAACTAGTTTAAAACCAAACGAAAAATGCAATGGTTGTCAAAACCTCCAAGCATCAAATTTGGCCAGAGATTTGTTTCTTTATTGGTATCAGTTTTTATTAGGTAATGTCTTATTATATCTGTCTGGTTTGTAAAACCTGTGTGCCTCACTTAATGCATGCAGCCAGATTCATTGTTGAAATGAAAAAGTTAAAGAAGTCATCAAAGCCCTATCCTGGAGGGTTATTGGTTCAGACTATTTGAATATTAGCAAAACAGCTTTATACATGTCCTGACTTGGAAGTTTCTTTGAGCCCAGGAGCTAATAGCAATTCATTTGGGCATGGAGATTTAAACAGTCTGCCTGAAGGAACTTATGGTGTCCTAGATACTAAGAGTTTTTTTGAAGTGGGATAGGTTTTTTTTTTTATTTTAGCTTTGCCAGAATATCCCTTGCACTTCTATAGGTCAACTTGAATCATGTTTTGAACTATTTCCAACTTAGTTAAAGAACAGTTTTACAGTGATTGGGGAAAATGAAATGCCCAAGTTCTTATAGATCACTGCCAAACAAAACTGAATTCTGCTAAGTCAAAAATCCAAAAGAGGTTTGACCTTATTGTGTTCTTCTCATCCACTGTGTCTTTCTAGGGTGAGTCTCTACTTCGTATGGTAATACCCATCCTCAAAATAATTAGTAACACATTTTTTTTATTTACACAATTTCAAAATAGTTTTAATTTCTGAGCATTCAGTTCTTTTACTCATTTTCTGAACAGAAATAATACCAGTGTGTTGTATTTGAAATACCTTTCTAATGCTTGTTTGAAAGCTGATTCTGGATTGTAAAGTTGACGTGTTGTTGTCCAACTGATAGCTTTTTACCTTAAGGAACAAATGCCACCCTGAGTGCTAAACTACTGCATATATAGAGAAATCGCTGTTCAAAACAAAAATTAAATGGGCTCCTTTGTACTAACAAACTCTATTAAGTAAGACTTAAGCTCTATGCTAGTAGCCTGCGGTCAATCATAAGGAAATAGTAACACACTGTGGAGTTCCTAGGGATGTGGGAAGCATAGTCACATTGATCTAGGTTTCTTGTTTTCAGATTAATTTAAATTTACTGATGATTGAACCACTTGGGGAATAATGGGAAACTTGGTTTCTGTAGATCTACAGCAATAGAAGACTGACCCTGTGGGCTTCAGCCTGTGATTTGCTGGGTATTTAGCTTTGACAGGCTACAACAGGCCTCAGCTTACTGGATTTTAGGTTAAGCATAAGCTAATGTGTGTTTCTGGACATGGCGTGCTGGCATGCTCAGAACCTTTCAAGTTGAGTTCCCTGGATGAAACCCAAAATTATAAACCCTGTGGAGAGATTCAGCTTTTCAGGACTTTTGCATTCTCTGTAGTCGAATTGCTTTTGGTTTGCATCCATGTGAAAGGAGAATCAAATGTTGCCACTTTACTTTGGATAAATTTCCCACTGGAAAAAAAGAAGTGTGTTAATTCTGTCCCAAAGTTTGGAGGTACCAGGAAAATTGTCCCTTTCTGTTGAGAGTAAAGAAAACCTGGATCTATTCAATTTTTGTTTTAGAACAACAAAAACGAAATAACTGCCTTAAATTTGAAAATACATTTTGACCTCTCAGTAGGAAACGAAACACAAAATGTTACTCGGTTTTAATGCTTGCTGAAATTTATGACGAGATGCCAGCTGAAAGCAGCCATATTTAATAAAATAACAACTATTCTGAGTTACTTAGAATCCATTTGCTAATCCTTTTGGCTGGAATCCTGTTTTCAAGGTATGCAGTCTATGCAAGTCTCTAAATTGGGTACAGAAAGTATTACCGTACACTGCATCACTGTGCAAGGCTGGCTGTGTACTTGTGGACACATCTGGTATTTCTAAATGCGAGGCCATGCCAACATAGTCCCGTGCTTAGCTTGGAAAAGCTGTCTTCTAGCATCTGTTCTTGGTCAAATTAGTAGTTTTCCAATACTTGGCACTTACATAGCACTTAACATATTTAAAGTGCTCTACGACTTAACCAGAATATGTGTCTCAGCTTTCAGTTTGAGACTAAAGTGATTTTCAGTCTACTTTGGAAAATGTGGACCCGCTGTTTTTGTGCAAGAACTTTTCATGTGAACACCCTGCAGGGGAGGAGAAATCCTAGGGAAGATCTTCTCCCTTGCAAGCTAGCATGACTGCTGACCTCCAGCAGTGTTTTGGCCAGGCGTTGATCCTGGGAAGCTTCATATGGCTTATTGATTTCAGACTAGGCACTTCAGGAACAAAATGTGTGAAGGGCGAAGAAAAGAAACTGGTCCTTTGGGTGAGTTTCTCTAACAGCTTGTGTGTAGTAGCTGGTGATTCTGGAGGACAGAGTCACATACCAGTTCACAGACTAGGACGTGTGGTTGGCGAATCTATGCTCAGAGATATGTAGTCATGTTCACAAACCAAAATACAATATGGACCTCCACAACTGGAATGCTTGTTGCCATATTTCTTTGGGAGACAGTAGATGACTGGATTTCTTCAAAAGCATAGGGGTTTTATGGATTTAATTCAACCGGGGAGCTGGTTCTTTCCTGTGTAAATTCAGGTGACACTGGGACAAATGGCTCTTCCTTTTTTGAACATATGCGTCTCTTCATGCCAGTATGGTATTTGTTTAGTATATAAGCAGACAAGAGTGAATAGTGTCAACATGTTATTGTAAATGTACTGCCTAGTAACTGGAATATATTTTACAAGAGGACTGTGGAAGCAGATGGTGTACTCTAGCTGACTTCCTTTCTTGTTTATTATTTATTTTGAGAATGTATTCTTCTCTTAACAGACTTGGACATTTTTAATCTGGATAGCTTTAAAAGGGGGAAAATATATTAATAAAAAGTGAAAATAATATATATGCTATAAATAAATATTTTGGTGTCATATTTGTGCTGTATGATTGTATTAAATTTATTTTCCTGTCAAGAAGAACTGTAAATAATCTTCTTACACTGTCACTAGGATACAGTGCTCTTTGGAGGATGTTAGGCTATTTTGAAACATTTTTTGCTGTATTAGTCTTTCAACATCAGGTTAAAATTTAAGAATTATTTAAAGTTGATTTGGTTTAAAAAAGAAAAATAGCAATATATGCTATGTGTTTGGACTGCATTCCTTTACACTTAACAGTTGTGTTGTAAGAGATTTTTTTGTTTTAATGTGTGCAAAGTACCTACTTTTTCTTTCCCACACCTCCACCCACCAAAAGATTTCTTCATTATTTCAGAAATGTGTGTATTTCACTTTACAGGCCTGAGCTGAAAGGAAGAATGGTCATGTCTTAAACATGAAAAAGAAAATGACTATAGGAAAGGATAAATTAAAAAAAATAAAATAATGCAATTTTTCATGCATGTCATTAGAATCTCCTTAAGGTAAGTGTGTGTGTATAGTATCTCACCTTTTGTGTACACACACATGTATATTTACATACAAGTATAAAGTGTTGGAGCAGTGATTTAAGACCATAGTTCAATATCTGGTCTGGAAAAGATTCAGTTGCTTGGGCAGCTTGTCTGTGTATACAGATGTTGGGGGAGGGAGTGGGGGAAGAGACTGAGGTGAGTGGAAGAAAAGGATGGGCATGTATGGGGAATATTTTCAATGAGAAAATCTCAGTTTCACATGACGTAGAGCCTAAATTATTTTAATGATTTTTTAATGGTCATTTTTTTTAGAAATACAAGGAGGAAGCTTTACTCTCAAAAAATTACTTAACAGCAGGGACTAGCTTAAACATCTTAGGAAAGACCAGCTATCACCAGTCTGATCTTATGTAGCGGTCGTATGTTGTCACATCTGTCCCCATTGCAGGGACTGTTGCAAGACCCACCGATGCAGCACTGTTCAGTCAGATGTATATTGTAGAGAAAACCTGCCCTGTTCACGTGACTGATCACGGTTTAAGTGGTTTATTGTTTTGCTATCAACAAGTAATTAACTGGCCATTGCTTAACTGTACACTTGGGATCAATATTTGAAATGCAACAGATAACGCTAGACAATATAGTTATGAAATGTTAATAGATGCCTAGAAATTTCTGAACGTCTTGGTATAACTAGGATGGCTGTGTCTGGCAGCCCCTCTGCTGCCCTGCTCCCCACTTCTCCTACACACTACATATATTCTCGCATTTTCACAGCTTGCTTGTAGGTCTCTTTAGCTGACCTCTGGATATCTCCCCCGCCTCCCCAACTAAAAGTCTCCTGGTAGTTCCCCAGTTGCTGTTTAATACAGTTGATTGTTGTGTTCTGCTTTACCAAGATGAGCTTTGGGCAAATGCCCTCGCAGGCAGTTTGGGCAGCCTGCTCCCCCAAGCCTCTTATGCCCGCTGTGCTCTCTCCAGCTGGTGTTACCCAGGCTGTTTTTAAGACAGCAGGGCTGTGTAGTTACCCACTCAGCTGTCTTCCTCAAAGTAGGCATGTGATTCTGCTAGACTTGAATGGCAACATGTGTCTAAATTGAGGATCTGTGGTTTGTAAGTGAGCTAAATTTAATTAAAGTAGTGGGAGGCTAATTGGTCTGAGCTAGCCATCTTTTCCCGTGTAGGTGATAAGTCTCGATACCTCTCAGTGGTATGGCACCAGCTTGCAAAGATGTACTGTCTTACTGGGTGAGGAGTGTTTTGTGGGTTCAAACAGGATTTATGTGGACCCTCCCTCCACCCCGAGTTTAGCACCCTTTCCTCAAAAAATAAAACATGCACTTTGGGAAGAATATAAATCTTCAGATATATTTAATATGTAAATATATTCAGCTGTATTAGCTTTGCTTTTGTAGTTGGATTCAGTTTACCAAAGGGACCTTGGTGCAGCTGCTGAGCTAACTGACGTCAGCTAGGACTGCCTATGTATAGACGTAAGTAGAGTTACTATATTATCCTGTACCTACCTATTATATATACCCTATATGTATATAGGGTTGTTGAAGTGCCTGGTGGATTGCTCTTTGTGCCAAGCAGCAGTGATGAGCTCTGTCAGCAGCAGGGCTTGGACTCTGCAGACCTCCAGGAGGAGCTCTGGATTCAGCATACAACAAGAAACCGGCTGGGAAGGCTGCAGTTTTCACACAGGACCCAATTTCAGTCTTTCTTATTGCTCATGCTGGAGGGAAAAGGGCCTGCTTGGAAGTGCTGCTCAAAAATCCTTCCCACCTTCCCCACTTCCACCCCAAATTCCCACTTTTTCAAAGCTAAAAGGCTCTTTTAAGTACTAACTCACCTTCTCAGCTGTTTTTATAGCCTCTGTCTCTTACCTTCCCCTGTCAATGTGCACCTTGGCATCCAGCTTCATTCCCTGCTTGGACTTGCAAACATGCAGGACAGCAGGACCTCAGAGGCAGACCTTCAAGCAGAAGTTTACCAGCCCCCACCTTACGCGATCATACCAGGATAAACTGGAGCTAAGACAAAGACTAAATCAATTAAAAGTATCCATTTTCAAAGAAAGTTTAGCCCAGCATGATGGACTTACTCCATTTAATACTGGTTCAGTGAACTATGAAGTGACTGGCTGCAAGCTGGTGTCATTGCAACACAGTGAGGACGCTGAACTGCAAAGAGGGATTTCTCGGTCGAGTCTGTGTCTCAGCCTTTGCTAGGGTTCAGAGCACAGCTGTAGTTGTGTGGTAACGTCAGTGCTATGTTGGGTTAGGTGCAAACACGTGAGGTGTGCCTATAAGAAGGTACTGCAGCTGTTGGTTTTGAGGTTGTTGCAGATGTTTAAGTGTAGAATTAATCACTTTATTGAGGATTTGAATCTTGAAAGGTAAGGAGAGGTCTGATTTGTCAAAGGAAATTCAGTCAGAACTGACACATTCATCAGATTGGCCCCATTTTCAGGACTGGCTACACAGTAGAGCTGAATTGGGTTTGGGCCCTTTGTCCACTAAGGAACAAACTCCACAGCCCTGTTAGTTGTTCTAGTGCTGTGTCTGTGTGTAACTAGGGTCATTTGCTGAGCTCCCTGGAACAATTGTTACAACATTTGAATAAGTATTGCTATATTGTGGAGCATCCTCATGTATCCCTTCAGGTACTGTAAGAGTACCTGAAGTAAGCCTCTACAAAATGTTCCTCCTGAAGGAAGATAATAGGCTGGAAAGAGGAAACCATAATAGGAGAATATCAGAAACGAGGAGAATATAAATCGTATAGATAATGCTTTGATTCTTTCACCATGCTTTGCAAATGTACTTTTTAGACTGCACAAGCAAGAACTTGAGAGCAAATGCTCTTCAGATCTTCTGCAACAAGAGGCTGTTAGAGTGTCTTGGCTAAGCTACAAATGGTGGCAGTGGCAAATAACAAATTTGGTTGAAAGAGCAGATTAAAAAAAAAAGCTGCCTTTAGCTCAGGTGATTTCTGTTAAAACAAAACCAAATACATAAACTGCATATGGATGCACAAGTAAAATTGGTTATGTTGCCAGTGACCTTTCTATGGCTGTAATGCAGTTTCAGAAATCAATAGCTGAACATAGGTAGCAGAGACCACTTCACACTTTTCAGGTTAAAACTTTCAGATCCCAGTGCTTTGCAAGCTCTGTCAGCAATATGTGTCCAATCACTTTAGTTTCCTGAGCTAGACAAAAAATCATCCCGCATGAACTAAGAAATTATAGAAAAGGTTTGTAATAGCTCTAACTTGACGACAGATCTTATCTGTATGTTGTACCAGACACTCGTCATTGAACACAAAGGGGTTTATCTCGCAAAGAAGACAATGGGAGAAAAAAAAATGATGGGGGAAAATTATAAGTAGTCAAGACATTAATTTATGTAGCCTGAGAATCTGTCTAGAGCACATATTGTGTCTGAATAAACTGAAATCTGAGCCGACAGCTGCTTCACCAGAGCAGAACAGAGCAGCCTGTTTGTTGAGAGACGAGATCTTGTGCTCTGACCTTTAGACGATCACAAGTCTTGTGTAACTGATGTCATTTGAGAAGTGAAAGATGTTGGTCTTTCTGTGGTTTTCTAGATTCAGAACTGAACACATATCTCACAGAGGATGCCAGTAGTTGACTACAGCATGCTGACAGCAAAGATAGATAAAATTTATTTGCAAATGTTCTATTTTCTGAGGTTAATTCACAGCAAAGTTGAGCTTAATTTTCGTTGTTTAATACTCCTTCACAACACGTTACTTTGCACATGAATTTTGCAACACTCTCGGCGTATGTTTTAATTGCCTATTTAAGTAGGGATGATTGAGTCAGATCTGACTGGTGTGAGATGAAAAAGCAATGATCTCCACAGGAAGCTTACTTATCTTGGCTCTTCTTGTACACATAAGCAGAAACAACACCTCTATAGGCACATCAGCATCTTACTGAATGGCTGTTTTAGTGTTTTCCAAAAGATTATATAAAATGAGATAGTTTTGTCATATGCCTCTTGCCATGCAAGTTATAATCCCTTTGCCCAACTCAAAGAGGAATCAGGTGATGGTTTTTGTTAGGTTTACATTATCCTACAAGCTATGCTGTAAGATTTCTAAATTCACACTGCACATCAGCACACAAAACAAACTTTTCAGGGCAAGACTTTCTCTACATGTACAAAGCAAGTGCCATAATAGGGTAGATCTCTTGCCTGATGCTTCTACTTATCCCTGTAAAAGGCATATTTATACTATGGAATGAGGGGGAAAGGGAGACCCTTTCACATCACAGACTATCCACATAACCCACTTACCAGAAATGCTGAGAACATCTAGGAAAGAGCCACAGGGAATTTTGAATGAGAGATCCTGTAGGACGTTTGCCACATACTGCAGCTGCTTCCTAAACTACATATATGTATGTATGTATGCTTCTATCCATCTGTCTTTTTTGAACATGCAAAGCAGTAGTGAGATTTTGAAAGGTCAACGCGCAACATTCCCCCATTAGGCACTTGCCAGATGAGCAGTGCTTGACAAGCCCACATGAACTGCCAAACAAACAAATGAGCGGCCTTTCATAGTCATCCTCAACATTTCCATAAAACAGCTGTGGCAGCTGTGATTTCATCTAGATGAAAAGCATTAATC